CTTCTTCCTGGGCTTCTGCAGCGTCCTCATCATGTGACCTGCTGCTGAGGTCACAAAGGTGTAGAGGTCGCGACCCCAGGGGACGCCTCGGTCCAGGCCCGGCTCCAGACTCACCGAGATGGACGGTCGCATGGCTGGAAGTTAGGAACATAAGATACTTATCCACAGGTCTTAGATCCACAAGTTCCTAACAGACATGGCTTTGGTTTTTAGCAACCACCAACCAGGTCCAACGTCACACTGAAGTCGACCAAATCAAACGACTTTATGTTCAACCCACAAATTGTCATTTTATGTTTTAATACTACTTAATGAATGATTAGTAGCATAAACACGTTTTGAGGCTGATGATTTATAAATAGAATTTGTAAGTATTTCATTATGATTTAATGAACAAGTTTTCAAGTTACCAAATTTTAAAAATAAAAGTCTAAGTGTTTTCTGAGTATAAGGAATCCTGACCTGAGATTAAAAAAAAATAAATGAAAAATTCAGTTGTCAGGCGGTTTGATTACGTTGCCTCAACATAAAGTTAGTTTTGAACCAACTAATGCAGAAATGTGAGTTTAAATTACACACAACAGGTTGATGCAACGTTATCATCATTTCAGCAAAGTTCAGTTAAAATGCCACGTCCAAATTTATTCATACCCTTTCTTAGTACTCAAAGTCTACATTTGCCACCTCGTATATGTACACACACACACACACACACACACACACACACACACACACACACACACATATATATTTAATACTTGGCAAGCGCGCCCAAAAAATCCTAAAAGCTCTTTTTTCTTAAATTACACAAATTATCCATAAATAATATCTTCATCTGATTTAAAAGCATTAAAATACTAAGAACTAATTTTACGGTCAAATGTTTTAACAGAATAAACCATTACCTTCTTAAAATTACAGATATTTGTTGTGGATATAATGTCCAGTTTTGACCGTTTATTTTTTAAGGATTAACATGTAAATAAATAAATAAAAAATATTTTCTGTACGAAACAAAGAAAATCTGTAAAAATAACTGTTAAAAAATGATCGACCATTTGTTAAACCCAAATAGGCACAATTTCCTTCAAATGACAGCAAATATCTGTGATGAAAAATACTTTTGCTGATTATTTACCCCCAGAACAGGTCGAGTTTTCCATCAGGAAGTGGTTCCTACCTTCAGGGCTCCTGGTCCTGCTGCAGATCTTCCTCCAGACTGAGGAAGCAGCTTCAGAGAGAAGCTGAGGATGAACTCTGGACGTGTGTCTCAGATGAAGTCAAGTGACATCAGCGCTCGATGCAAATGCACAGACTTCCTTTTTCTTTTGTCAGTGAATGGAGTCGGACTCGATGAGAGGCTCTGACTTGTCAGATAATTGCCTGTTTCTGTTCAGACACTCGTGTGGACGTGGGCGACTCGTCTGCTTTGTGTGTCGACTCCCAGCAGCTTGTTAAACACAAACGCGGCGGTTAAAGGCGGTTAACGAGCCCTTAATTGATCAGCTTCAACTCTGGCCCTAATTAGCACATTCTCAGAGGGAAGAGCTAACGCGGTTGCTAGTGGCTTTAATTGACCTTTACGACTCAATAGCTTCCAAGTGCAGCGTTTTACATATCTATGGCAGCAGGTGGGAGGAGGAGCCGCCCTGTTAGCAGAAATACAAATAAAACACGACCTGTTTTGAGTTGGTCTTCACCTTTAAATGATCCCGTCTGTGTTTAAAATGACCTCTTAGTTGGCTGATTGATTTTTCTTCTTTCATGGCCTCAGATATTTATTTAGACAAACCTGTCCGACCCGTTACTGGAGAGTTGATGCTGTAAAGGAGGGAAACGTACAATATCTGTTTCTTCATGTTTTGGGGGTTTTGTTCACTTTTTTTGTTTTTTTTGTTTTTTTTTAACACTTTCACTCTTTTTTAAATGACAGGTGATAAAATGTAGTAATTAGAAAAATGATCAGAACATATCAGAAATCTGCATTTTTCTAAATTTGTTCTTTTACAACATTTGACAAAAAAAAAAACAAAAACACTTCCACTGTATTTAAATAAAAACAAACAAACAAACATAAAAACATAAAAACAGTGGCGTTCCTTTATAAATATATGCTGTTATTTAAAGAAACATCATGTGCTGTTTATCATGACAGACTTCCATCGACTCCTAGAATCTGAATCTTCTCTGATGGAATCATTGGACCACCTGAACCAGGGTCACAAAAAACAATCATGAACTTTGGTTCTTTCATAGATTTATTAAAG